CCTACCTACCTACCTACCTACCTACCTACCTACTTACCTACCTACCTACCTACCTACCTACCTACCTACCTACCTACCTGCCTGCCTGCCTGCCTGCCTGCCTGCCTGCCTGCCTGCCTGCCTGCCTACCTCCCTACCTACCTACCTACCTACCTACCTACCTACCTACCTACCTACCTACCTACCTACCTACCCACAGCTTCTCACCGTCGACCTACCCACCTGCCCACCTCGCCACCTACCCTGCCTGCCTACCTACCGACATACCTCCAGACACACATGCAAACACACGCAGACATGCATACTTACCCACATACCTACATCTTTGCAAACTTCAAGCACAAAAAAGCAGTCAAACAAACAATAGAGTAAACGAACAGAGGACAGAAGCACGCAACAGGCATACGATTGTGGCGTGACCAGATAGACGTATGTCTATCTGGTACCTATCTTTTGCAGGAGAGAGGTTGCTCTTCTGTATGTAATGATTTCTGTGTTTGCGTTGTTGAGAGGGGGGGTGTTACCGGTACCTCCATTCACACGAACATCAATTTTTGCATTCACACGAACATCAATTGACTTTTAGGGTTGGGTGGGTTTTGGGTGGGTTTCGGCTGCAGGGTTTAGTGTTGACAGCTTGATGTTCGGCATGTGGAGGTAATGGATACTCTGCCATACCCGGACATACCTTCGCCGGCGTTTGGGGGGTGTTTGCAAAGCAGTGACATGGCTTAAAGGGTTAGGCTCATGCCTTATTAGGCTAAGTTTAAAGTTTGGAAGTTAACGGCGCAGAGATTCTGTTTCTGAATCAGCAGAGACTCATGTAGGGTTAGGGGTTCACAATCCTTGTCGGAACTTCCTTGCGCATTCGGGATGTGGGAACGTGTTTCTGTTGTTTAACTTGGGCCGAAAAAGGCCGAAAGAACTTCTGCTTTTTCGACGAGGCCAAGGTCAGGAGGACAAATAGTTAGGCCTGTGGACATTTCGCAAGAGAACGATATCTTGCAGATTTCGTAGTTGCTGCAGAGCCTGCAAAGCACGAAGGGCACCGCGCGCGCCCAATCTGCATTTCCTAAGGGTTTTGAGGTGCTTTCGGCTTTCCGAGAGCTTCTAGGTGCTGGAAGTCACAACAGAAACGCTCAGTAGTGGTCATCACTTGGTAAAGCAAAGCGAACTGAGCTCAAACAAACGGGAACATAGTGACTGCAAACGGTGAGAACTTACCACTGTTCCAAGCCAGCGCCCCGTCTACAATTGCGGCGGCTGCTGAAACCTCCTCGCAAGCTGCGTCACATGCTTTGCTTCCTTCAATGGAACCTGCACTGGCAGCCTCGCGGTTTGTTCCGAGTTGTAGAACATGGAAGAAAGGGATCAGATGAAACGAGACGGTTAGGCGGTTAGAACGAGCCCAGCCACGACTTCCACACGGATGCGAAGATGGCCTGCTCTCCTGGCCCAGCGCATACCAAGAAAACTAAACCCAAAACGACTTGGAGTTGCTTCAAGACACCAACAAGGCACACGAGGCACTGTTGCAAACAGCTTGAGTCTTGAAGTCTCAAAACCTGAACAACTGAACGGACGGCTTCAACAGCCGCCCCGGAAGTGTTGAAATCGCTCCGCAACAACTTTCAAAGGCGAGCAGTTGCGGCGACGAGCAGCAGCAAGCATAGCCGCAGGAGAAGCAGCAGCTCGACTCAGGCATGCCAAGACAAACATCTAGAAGAACAGCAATAACAAGAACACCACCGACGACGACAACTTCTAAACCTGAAAGAACACAAAAGAAGAAGGCTTCTAGCACGATAGCGACGACAACAACTACCAGGGGCTCATGCTGCTGCTGCTGCAGCTGCTGCAGCTGCAGCTACTGCCGCTGCTACTACAGTACAACCACATGCAACACTAAACTCGATAGTCGTCCTAGGAATTTACGAATTGGCACCCCTGCCTTGACCCGGCAAACCTCCGGGGAAAAACACCGCCAAGGTGGCGACACCGCGCAAGATCTCCAGAGCCTCGGAGCCGGTGCATGTGCCTGTGCCATGTTGAAAATCTATCCTAGGAAGGCCTCTAATCAAAGGAAGAAATGCCCCTGGCAAGAGAGAACACTTCAAAGGATGCAGCCTTCCGTGAAGATGAAGCATACCCGCTGAAGCACCCGGGCGAAGCTGCCCCAGTCACGGACCATTGTATCGACTCATCCCGTCACATCATGCAGTCACGGCTGGCATCCCGAAGCCGCTCTTGTTTAAGTATCCAGCTGTGCCCAGTACCAGGGTCGCATTCATCTGGCGATCACCAACAAGCAAAATCAAAAATTGCGGCCAAAATGATTTTGATGACACCATCAACAGTACGAGGAAGAACCACCGAAAGAATGACACTTGGACCTGAATGCAAATACTGGGGCAAGCAGACTTAGATGTCACAGGACAGAATAGCCAGGAGCCAAACCGTACAGCGCCAGTGTTCCCCTATGAATCTGATTGCCCAGATGTTGCTGCGCGTAGGCCATGGCTTCGTGAGACAGCCTTTGCTTTCCTAGCAGAATGCTTCTCGGCATGTATGTAAACAATTGAAGTCGAGAGAGGAAAAGTTCTGAACTCTTGGCATGTACACTGATTGCGGCCCCAGCTTGTGTTGTGCGGAGGAATGAAAGGAACCCGCCGTGTGAGCTGTTTCCAGGAATACTGCATGGTGCGGATTGCCCTGCCATCATCATGAGGACTATGACATGTGTGCCAGTACAGGCTCACCCTCAAGCGGCAGGATGATCGATTTAATAACTTTTGCAGATGATGCCATCATAGACCCCCAAAGGGTGAGAGAGCTTCGCCATGTGGAGGAGCCCTACCTGGACACGATCCTCCACCCTGACTTGCTGGCCTACCTGCGCGACGTGCGGCACAAGGGGCTGGCCGCGAGATATGTGGGCGAGCGCAAGCGGTGCCACGCCAAGATCCACCCTAACGGCCGCAGGAACCTATCCCAGGTGTACCAGCAGATCTGGAAAGACGTTTGCAAGCTCAGAGTGCTCGTGGTCCCCTCGGACCTAGCGGAGTTGGGCCCAGTGGTGGCAAGCCCTTCGACGCCGTCGACAAAATGCTTCCAGACCGCTCGGTGGCCCCCGACAAACGAATCGTCCATGACCAGCGCACGGTGAACGCCGGCACGGATAAGGAGTGGCACCCGCCAGCGGCCCAGCCACGACATGAGCAGGTCGCCCGCCTGCAGGACCACCAGGAGCGAGCATGAGCGACCACAAGGACACACGGCCGAACTGCTTCCGTTCAGTACTGGCGGGGTTCAGGGGCACGGAAGCAATCTTCCCCCAAGCGAGGACCGAATTCAGGAGCGCCACGAAAATGCTTCCCCCAAGTACTGGCGATATTCAATACCACTGCCAAGATGCTTCCCTCAAGCAATTACTGATGAGACTCGGAAACAGAGATCTGTAGGCCAAAACGAAGGCCCATATATCTATCTCTTGTCCTGCCGTGCCATTCTCAAGGGTCTCGCTATGCATGGGCACGTAACCGCAGGCCAAACAATCAGGAGGCACGACGCGAAGAATTTACTGTACAAATCTGGCTTTTTTGGGAGACGGTTTCCAGTCGATCTTGCTTAACTACTATAGGGCGTAAGTGAGAATGTGCACTGTGCCACAGCAGGATCTGCATACCAAACAGTATGTTTCTGCTGCGTGCCGCGCGGCTGTACAAACCAGTTCTCTGTACTCCGAGCAATAGACCCTCATAGTGTGTGTGTGTGTGTGTGCGTCTGTACCACGCTGTTTGGGGAATCATGAAAAAGTTGAAGGATCCTTCCGAAAGCATCCGAAAGCATATTGGCGTGCTTCTCGCCTGGATAGTGCACCCAGAGTCCAGTGCTGAAAGAACGAACCCCACGTCCCTCAGAGCGGCGAACTTTCAAGACGTCCCAAGGGGAGCCCCGCCGGGTCGAGTCGAATAGTTCCAAAATGAGAACGGGATGGACTGTAGAGGGAGCCCAGGAAACAGGAGGCATCAAACCCTCCCAAAGACTCTCATCAACAAATACCTATATACATCGACCTGCCATGAATTTTCAGAAGCTCCCTGGATTCTAAGTCTCTCACCTTCGAAGGCCGGCCCGAGGCAGCCTCGGCGAAGGCCATGCCTGGCTTCGGATTTTCAAGAAGGGACCGAAGGTGAGGGTTCAGGAAGGGTTTTGCAAGGCCTTTTGGCCTCTGCAACTATTTTTGAAGTTTGCAAAGGCTTAGAGCTGCAGAGGTCTACAGTGCCGCAGCCTGGGCTGCCGAAAGACTTTGTTGCATGGGCTCAGGGGTCGGATAAGGGAAGCTTTAGGCCGGGGATTCTGCGTAATGGCTTTCAATTTCAATGTAACAATACACGATGCAGGTCAAGCTCTTGAATTTTTTCCTGATTCCTACCCCCTTAAGCAACGTCGAAGCCACGAGCACGTTGATGCTCCCTGGCTTGGCTTTTCAGGGAGTCGAAGCCGAACAGCAAGTGAGAAGTGTACTGTTTAGATCTGTTTAGTCGCTCAGGTTAGGAGCTGCATTTCAATATTTCAGAAGATCGGCCGGCTTCTTGCTCCCGCACTAAGCACTAATCACTATTGTCAGCATACTGCAGGGGCTCACTTCGTGACACAGCCTCGTATGGACTGCTCCCCTGGCCGGTTTCCTGTCTTTTGGCAGGCTGTTCAGAAACGTATATCCTGTGAAAGAACCAAAGCCAAAGCTGACTGCCTCTTGGCCAGTTGGGCCCGGTGTGCTGTATATCAATTTGTGCCACGCCTTTCCGGCTGGCCAAGACGAGGATCCCGAATGGCGGGGATGCAAAGTTGTAGGCTTACGGGATTTGTGGCTGTCGCTTACCATGAGAATGTCACAAAAAACGTCCCATACTAGCTGCACTGGCTGCACTGCACGAGTACTTCCGTCAGCACCTGTTGCTGCCGAGTTTAGGGGACAGGATGGTTGGGTTCGCACAGTACTTCAATCCCAGATGCTCACGGAAGGCTACCGGCCGCGCTCTTCGTAACCGCTGGGTGCTGGGTGGGGGGGGGGGAGTTGGGGGCGGATTCCCAACTAGAAATCGAAGGAGCTTGTTGACAAGATGCGAAGTCGTAGCACAGCTGTCATGTCAAAGGCTGGACACCACCTGAGCACTTTACAATCATGGATGGGCGCAGAGACTTCATGGGCTATGGCAGTGTAGTTAGTTTCTGTTCGGGCCATGCTTGCATTGGTAAGGCCGTTGCGTCGTGGAGCACATGTCCAGTACCCTTAGCTCCCGGATGCTTGCCAAAACATCAGAGAAACCCTTAGAGATAGCCCAAGCAGTCAAGTCGACTGGAGGATTGAGCCCTCAGAGTACTCAACCCGTTTCAGAACGCAAGAAACCCCCAAGTTTCGTGTTCCCACCAGGGAACCATCCATTCCTCGAGATGTGCCACAATATGCAGCTTTATGAAGCTTCCGAAATCAGGCAAGGCTTTGGACCCGCTCTTCAACCAAACATAACATACTGCTTCAAGAAGTACGAGCAGCAACAACCATAGGACGTCTCATCACATAGAGTCAGGAAGCGTGTGGCATGTGCAGATGTATACTTTACGTAAGTGGACACGTCTCTGAACATGAAGCTAGGGGTATCGCAAGTCCCGATACTTGGACTCGATCGCCCCGTACCACTTCTGTGCACCCCGATAGTTAGAATCAGAAGCTCCATAGTTGACGACTGTGGACGTGTGTGTGTGTGTGTGGAAAGTAAGCAATCGCAATGCCAAGAGCTCGCCTCTTCTCCTTCATCGTCCGACTCAATGGGCATGATCACCTCATCGCGTCCAAGCTGGTCAGACGGCACGGCCTCGTCAGGAAGCGGGCGCCCGAGCACGAAGAGCATGTCCGTGGGCAGCAGCACCAGGTCCTTAGGAGGGTTCGTGATCACGAAAGGGAGGCGGTTTGACATCTGGTCCCCTTTGTCATCCTCCACGAAGGACTGGCTAACTCCGTAGTACGGGGATCGGAAGTCCAGTTCCTGTGCTGCCTCCAGGCTCACCAACATAGAATAGGAAGACCGATTGCCGTTCGGATATCGGAAGATACCCAAGGGAAGCATGGGTTGACTGTGCGAGATGAGCATGTTCGCCGCTTCCCCGAAGGTGCTGCAGGAGGAAATCATCTTTGCAGTTGCAGGCATTTGGAAAACACAGGGCTGGTTGGCCAAGCTGGGGCTGCCGAGCCCATGATGCACCTTGGAGCCCACAGTGAGCCCAGCAAGGCCAAAGAGGCGCTCAACGATGATCATAGCGTCCGGGTTGAAAAAGCTCTCCATCAGGAACCGGTCGACAGTCGTCGTTGCGATGATGTGCCCGGCTGCAAAGAGTGGCGACATGTTCAGTGGTGCTGATGCCATCCAACGATCCTCAAACAGCGACGTGGCGCCCTGCGCCTCAGGGTTCATGCCGAAGAAGCGGTTCAGGGAGCCCTCCTGGAACATCTGTGTCACCGTCCAAACATCTCGTAATTCGTCGCCGGGGATAAACTTCCTCGTGGCGATGATGTTGGTTGTCAGAATGGTGTCCGAGTCTACCATGCGGCGGAGCTCCCAACCCTGTACTGGTGCCTTAGCAACATCCTTGTCAATCTTGGGCAGGATCACCACGGCCTTTGCACGCTCCAGGTGGGCACCGCGCAGATCCTTTTGATTATGCACGAGCTCCTTGGCAAAGTAAACCGTGTCCAGCGAAATGTGTTGCCAGATCTCGGGGCTCCGCTCCTCGTGGGATGCCATGCTCAATACGACGATCTCTGTCACGGGGTCCCGGACGAGTAGCATTTGCACAGTGAGAGCAATGGATTTCTCGTCACCCCCGAAAATGACGATGTGCCCCCGGATTTCATTGAGGTAATCTGCAGCTGATTGCAGTCCCATGTCCATGAAAGAAGAGCTCAGCATCTTGGTCATGTGCTCCTGCGGCTCTTCGAGAGATTGGGGTTGGAACTCCCGGCGCACACCCAGGGAAGCCAGATCCTTCTCGAATTCCCGCAGATCCCCACCGTAGTCCAAAAGCAGTGATGCCAGCCGCTGCGAGCGCAGCGCCTGGATGTCCATGGCCTTGGTGTTGGTCCTTTGATGTAGCACCGGCGGGCTGAAGGATTTCTCCGACGGCCAGGAGGCCACACGGCCGAAGCTCTGGCTGTGAAGGCTCAGCACCCGGTCAAACTTTTCCTCCGTGCGAGAAGCAGCCGCGGAAGTCTCCTCGCTCTGGATCCGTTCGAGCTCCCTGAAATTGAAGCCCTTGGAGAGCTTCATGTCCTTCATGTGGAGCTTCACTGGGCTGCTGTCCAGATCAAAGCTCCCAATTCCGGCCTGTTCGTCCCTGGCATCCTTGGCATCATAAAACTCCCCGGGCCACCTCAACTTCCACCAATAGCTCCGCAGGCGAGTCGAGAGCCCGCCTGACATGGTCCAGTGCTCGGAATGTGCCTTCAGTCGTGACAGGAAGTCTGGGTTGCTGTCTTCTTCCCAGGTGTGCTGCTCGCCGTCGCCCTTCCTGACAAGGGTGGTGGCCTGCCCGGTCTCGCGAGAGTCCTCGCCCTTGCTGCTGCGGCCAGCGGCAGAGGGTCGCAGCATGGGCCTTTCTGGGCTCCGGCCCCGCTTAATAGCGACCACTGCCTCAGGAAGGCTGCTTGCAATGACGTAGACACGGTCGCCGTCCTGGAGGATTGTGTCCTGTCCGCTCGGGAAAAGGAGCAGCCGGCGTTTCCTGTGCTTGGAGAAGGTGCTGCCTGGTGTTTCGGTGCCCCCACGAGACTGACGCTTCACGGCGATGAGCAAGATACCATGGTTCTCGTAGAGGTGGTAGGCAGCTTCCACGAGATTGAGACCGTGGATGCCACTCTTGGACGTGATGCTGCAATGGTAAATCTCCTGGCGGGAGCCCTTGTGGTAAAGGTCGAACCATTGCTCGGTGTTTGTGTCGTAGGCATGGCTGGTGGTGTGGCTCACCAGATTCAGAACCATCGTCGAAAGACCCCGGTGAAGTGCCGATCCAGCTACCATCGCCGCGGTCAGCTCCCCGATCACGAGGCAGAGGTCATGGAGCCTATCCCAGCCAGGCATGTTCACAATGCGGTCCCGGGTCTCTGCAGACAGTACCTGCGCCAAAAGTCGAAGTCTTCGCCGGCCTTCGAACGTCTTCTGTCGGTGCAGCTGCGCGTTCTTGAAGGCCTTGCAGGCTAGCACTATGGATGCAACCTGCGTGTCTTCCCACTGCGGGTCCTGGGGATATTTGCAGGCCAAGACCAAGACCGCCATTGCTTCGTGGACCTTGGCTCTGAACAGGTCCTTCTCCACTTGTGAAGAGCCTTGGATATATTGTACGTGCCCGGTGTATGCAGGGTGGCCCAGTAAATCCAAAACCTGGTGATCCGCTTCGTTGGGAGACAGGATCACGATGTCGCAAGGCCGTGCGGGCCCACGATCGGGGTGATATGCCTCGTACAGGAGGAGGTTGAGCACGGGGAATTCTATATGGCCCATAATCACAATGTGCGAATCGCTCATGCGCCTGTACCTTGTTCTTCGGGCCCACGGATCTCGCTGGAGAGCCTTCAAAATCGATGCCGCTTGCCAGGGGATGATGATGAAGGCCACGGTCACCACCAAGATCAGCAGAAGGTGTCCTCCCGGGCTCTCAGGCTCAATTCGAGGTCGCCCCAGGATTTCGATGGTCGTAAAATAGAAAGCCTCGTGGAATGGTACGCTAGAAGCTTGTTCTGGCAAGACCTTCATGTCGTTCTCGATGAGCTGATAGAAGCCGGCCGCGGTAAAAATCAAACAGAAGAGGCCAAAAGCGAGCATGGCGACCTCGCGGCTGACGTCCTCGGGTCGATTTCGCAAAAAGCGGAAGGATCGCAGAATCCGGAAGAGCTTGGTGATGCGCACCACACGCAGCACCACGGAAGTGTCGTGGTCGATGCTGAAAACTTGGTTGAACACAAGGAAGGGTGCAAGGGTCACAACGTCCACGAATGCCATGAGCGAGTAAAGAAACTCGAGCTTGTTCCTGCTGATGTAGAACTGGAAGATGTAATCAACTCCAAAAAACGCATTGACTATGCGTTCCAGCATGGAAAACCAGTTTCCGGTGATGCCATACGTCTCTACGACATAAAGACTGCACAAGACCAGCGAAAGCACAGTTTGCATGACATCGATACGCTCCAACACCTGCCATCTGTTCAACAAAATCAACAGCCGCTGCCGCGGAGTGATGACCAATGGAGTTCGCTTCGTGCGCCTGATCCGCCGCATGCACAGGATGAGTGCGGTCATCAAGGCATAGTACACGAAGACCACACCAATGAGGATCAGCAGCGGGGCATACTCCACGAGCCACCCGTGCTCACGTCCCAGCAGCATCCCTGTGCTCGGGACGCGCCCTTGACACTGCCGCTGCCACACAGCACTGGCGCTCCAGCACTTGTAGCATTATCTAAACTGGGCCATTACTTGGCCGGACAGGGTTTGTAGGGTTTACGTTGCTTGGCTGAAGCAATCGGTTACAGTAGGCTGGGCTACTAGCACCAAAGCAGCGAGCTCGGCTGCATCATCTAAATCTAAAGTACATGTGATATAGGTATGACCATCTTATTCGCACTGGGATTCTCGCAACGAAACTGAGCCAATAAGTGCCCTGGGCGATGCCGGGAGGTTCAGTGACTCTGGAGTAGGACGTCGGTCGAGAAAACCTCGCTTTCGGGGCACCGCCAAACCGAAACAGCTGTCAACCCGGTGCAAGAGAAGCCTGAATACCCAGAATGGGACGGTGGCATACATGTGGTAAAACAGAACAATGATTTGGAAACACAAGGAGTGGAAAGCGTCAACTAATCACGGACTGTACAAGGCTCCGGGATTGAACTATGCTCTTCAGGGTTTTGGGTGATTCTGCTGGTGACGATGATCGGAGTAATTGCTCCACGCTGCTACTGCAGCTTCGCTGCTGTCTCTGAGAATGGCTCGTCTTCCCGCACTATAAATGTGACAGTGAATTTTCCCTTGCTGCCATGGTCAGCATGAGCTCAAAGCTCCTGTTTGCGTCACTGCTACTCCTTGATCTCGGGCCGATGTTTGTGCTCACACTGCTCTGACGCCAAATAGCTATGCTACTGCTGAGATGAGTGTAAGAGTGTCCGTGCGTGTGCGCGAGGGCGACTGCGGCTGTTTAGCATCTCCCTTCTGATGACTGGTGCAAGGCGAGCTATGCTCGAGTCATCGGCGTTCCATTTTTTTGTCTCCTGGCGATCGGAGGAGCTGCTGCCGACGATTCACGACTTGCCAAGCTCGGCAAGCATGATATCAATGGCGTCTTGGATCACAAACCTCTTTAGTGATGTCATCAATATGGCTATTATTATTGCTACTACCAAGCCTGTTATTGCAGTTGTCAATGTTATTCCTGCATTTTGGAACCAGTCTAAATAAAGCTTGATGATGGGCCACTGCCTCATTGGAAGAGTCTCGCAGGGGCCTTGCAAGCAGTCAATGAATTTGATAGTGAATCTTGAGAACGGGCCTGACAGTACTAAACGTATGCGTCAATACACACTCTCTCTCTCTGCACAAATCTATCTATCGTGCGGTTGTCTGTCTATCTATCTAGACAGCCAGCTAGGTAGCTGGCTAGCTAACTTTCTTGTCTGTCTATCAGAGCTGTCAATTTTTGCGCATATACCGAACCGGTGTCGACACCAGGATTATTGGGACTTTTGATCCCTGCCGAGGTTAGGATGACAGGGACCACGACCAGCGGACCAGGAGACCACCAGGACACTAAGACACGACCACGAGACCAGCAAAAGACCACCAGGAGACCATCAGGGAGCACCTGGTGCTCAGCACCAGGAGACCACCAGGACACCAGGAAACAAGCAGGAGACCAGCGGGACAGCACCAGGCGACTGTTGCCAGGAACATGCATTCCCCCAAGTCCTGGCGTATCGAGAACCACGTCCAAAATGGTGTCCCCCAAGTACCGGCGCGATTCAGAAACAATCGAGAGCACGGCAAAACCTTTTTCTCACAAGTAATGGCGGTTCCAGGAGCAGCAAGAAGGCTTTCGCCCAAGGGCGTGTTTCGGAAGCAGCCGACTTATGCTTCTCCCTTAGCTTGCGAGATCCGAGGAACACCCTAAGCCCTAAATCGCTTCCCCCAAGTACTGCTGCGATTCGAACTGTTCGAGAGTCCAAACTAAAACCTAATCCATATTGATTTGTTGACAATCGATCGGGCTCGCCGGACGTACGGCCGTACGATTTCGCTGCAAATAACTGACGTCAGCGAGAAAATGCGAGTACTATGCACTGCACCATAGCGGGAGACGTGCGTCGCGAGCATCCTTTGAAAAAGAGAGGACGAGGAGACCCGATTTGCAGCATCTGCTGCAAATCACAGGACGGCGGGAGCCTCTTTTCCAGGTGCACCGCGCACGCACGCAAGAACCTCGTAGTGTTTGCACAAGGTTTGGGGATTTTATCCGAAATGTGTCAGCGTATTTGGCTGCTTCTAAAGACTTTAAACGGACACAGGAGATTTGTTCAGCCTTACTTTAGAGACTCTTGAGTTAAGTAGTTCTGTGTTCTTCAAGGAGAACAGTCTTGCATATCAATCTACGGCCCCCCTTGTGGGCAAAAGAATCTAGAGGAGATCGCGTATTTTAAAATCCTGAACTCAGGTTCTTCGATTTCTGATTCGGAGTGAAGGATCCTGGGGGAGGCGGGGCAGCTTCGTTTTGCTAGCTGGTTGATAAGCTGGTGATCTGCCGAAAATCACAATTTGGGAGAGAATGGTGCGAGTTGTACTTGTATCACATACACGAGTATGCCAGTTCTTACTGATTCTTCGACGAATGAAGTCGTAAACTTGAGTAGAATGAATTGCGCTTACCATGCGGCGGAATTGTTTTCTTGTTTCCAAGCAGAAGGAGTGATAGAGCTGCTTCAACCGTTGCTATGAGGCTATTTGGAGAAGCCAGGGGCTACTTGATGTTGTAGTAATAAGGATGGCAGGAACTCTTTTGTGTCTTTTTAGTAATCCTCTGCCTTATCCTCGTACTTTTAACGAAACCAGAACTTTTTGCCCCGCGCTAGGGGTAGAACAGAACAGCCGAACGTATGTGGGATATGAAGTCCCCTACATTCCCTTACAACAAAAAGAGACGTGGAGGTTGCTTCCACATTCCTGCTAAGGAGAAAGCTTTCCTTTACGTTTCAACGTAAGAAAATAGCAACTGTCGAGTTCTCGTATCAAACTGCACAATATCAACATAGATAAATCGATGACACAAACGTATGTGCACACATGTGTGTATATATATATATATGTATATATATATATATATATGTATGACTGTATGTATGTATATCATGTGTACATATATATATATATATATATAAGTGTGTGTATGTATCATATCTCAGTTGCACATGTGTTTTGTGTTTACACTCCGTGTGTGTGTATGTATGTGTATATATATATATATATATACACGCAAGCATACACCAGCCAAGCGACCTGTCGACAAGCTGAAACTAGGCCTGGTTGGGGCAAGCTTCCGCGCCTCAGACGGGCTGCACAGCACAGTCATTTCATGCCGGAAATTCAAACCAAACATGATTGAAACAGCGGACCGTGAAAGTTGTGTGTGTTGCTTCGCGATACCATGCTTTTATAAAAAACAAGTTCGACAATGGCTTAGCTGACGAATTCAACGCGACAAGTTGGAGAAGCATCCGAAAATCCCCTTCTCTGCGCTGCAACTGGTGGACTCCGCACGATCCATGAGATGTCGTCATGCTTCAGCGCGTTCTGCAGCAGGAGTCGCGAGCACAGTTCTGCGTCTACGTTAGTAGCAGTTGTTCTCGATCGTTGGAAAACTCTGAATTCCAGCTACTCTTGAACCATGAAGGAGAGGCCGACTATAGGACCTGCTGCGAACGCAAACCCCTTAAACGGAACTTCGGAAGAACCTCTGTTTGACGGAGGGCACAAGCGGCATTGTTACTCTGTGCAGGACTGTTGCGGTGAGTCTAGCAGGCATGAAAGGAACTGCAGTCACTGTATGTCACTGTCACAGTAGTCCGCACCTGTCAGCTGACAAGCAAACCTTGCGGCCGTGGAAGATTCAGCGAGCGACCCCCCCCGTCCCCCCGTGTGCCACCACGATTACGCTCAGCAGAATGCCACTTGCACACAGCAAGCAAGGCTAGTGCTCGAATCGCACTTACAGATTGACTGCTGGTGAACACGCGGCACTTGGCCTTGGAGTTGTCTCCAGTGGTCGAGCAATTTTCCTGGGCAGGCCGATTGCACCAGGTCTAACCGTCCTGTGGAATGGAGGGTTTCCGTCTTTTCCGTCTGCAAGTTACAGTGCGCATTATGATATTGCAAAAACCCGTCGAGGGTGCGCCCTGCCTGGTTTCGGACTCAACTCGCCTAAAGATTGCGATTTCTCATATCTCTGTCTCTCGCAACCACGAAACATAAGCTGTATGTACTAGAGCATGTGAGGCACACTGTGCTCAGGTCTGCGCGAGCGGTGCAGAAACCGTCCCATTCCTCTAGGAAGATGAAATCGAACCACAAGCGCACCTTTAGGCGACATATACTGACAAGATCCCACAAGTCCTGCTCTCCTCCCACCTAACCCTAAGACATCCTAATACAAAAACTGCTTATCTTTGTCTCCGTCCTAGGTGTCGGCCACAATACCGACATTCGATTGCCTCTGTCGGACCCTGGGCATGGTTAGACCTGACTTCGCAAATAAGTTCTGGAAGCTCCCTTTTGATATGCTAGGGCGGTGATGCCTTCGGGTGCCCTGATGGTATGAGTCCTTGTTGAGATTCCAATGTTGCCGATGACGGAACCCGCGACACTGCACTTCGCTAGTACATCCTCTGCTTTCTTCACAACACAACCCGCGAGGCCCACGCCTCAATGCCCTACACAGGCATTCGCAGCATTAGCCGACCTGCCCATCCCAAATACCAATGGTTGTGCCTAGGCGCAGGGTGGAAGTCAGCCTCGCCGTTGTCAAAGCAGGCGTTGCGCTTCCAGACAAATTGCGCATGGGTCTCGTTGCCTTAGGACTCACGGGGTCAACACTTCAAGGGTGCCGGTCTTGGTTTTGGCAATGTGGGTTCTTCAAGATTTACGGTGCTGTTGTGAGGAATATTTCTTCACCAAGCTTGCAAACAGGACTGGCTCGAACGATTCGTCGGGTGATGCCATCCAGCAGAAGGCTTGCGCCAACCCAACCGTTTCAACTTGTTGCTTGCGGTCCTGCTCCTTCAGAAGTTGAGGGAAGCAGGCCGAGTCCAGAGCGTGTGAGCGGGTTCAGGCTTGCCGACCAGGGGCTTCCGAAGAGCTGTCTTGGTGCACGCTACAGCAACAACCCGCCGACTACGACATGGCTGAGTACGCTCTTCTCGTTTAGGCCTAATCCTGCAGAGCCCCCAGCTCGGGCAGCCACACTCGCCGGTGAGCTTTGAATCTACCCTGCTCCTCGCTCGTCGTGCTGAACTGCAAGGCAGTTCCATAGTCCACACCCAGGAAGCTGTTACCGGTTTTGGCGGCTCCTTTGCTTGGCACACCCGAAGCAGTCATCGCAGCAACCCAAACCGCTCAAACGCACGTGTCTCATGTGTCATGAGCATTAGCCGTGCGAAGCTACCCGGACAGATTCTCCAGGGCAAAGGAACTCCTGAACCTGCAGCGATGACGACATCCACAGCCCGAGAGCAAAGTCTCGGGTGATACTTATAAGCAACACCCAAATCTTAGTGGACTCCTGAGGAGCTGAAGGTCCGGGGCCCGAGCTCAGCTCTAGTTCTGCCATGCCAAAAGCTCCCTGGCGGAATGCAGACCTTTCCAGGCTGGAACTCTCAGCTCTATATATAAGTCCTCTGGCATTCAGGGTGAAGCGTATGGCGTTGTGGGCTGCCACGGTGCCCTAAAACCCTAAGCAATGCAGAGGATTGGGGTTTGGACAACGGCACTAGGACTCGGCAAGCGAAGCGTCCAACGGTTTATTTACAGTTGTAACATGGAGGCATGTACTCAGGCGATAGTGCTCAAGAATCCTGATGTCACGAAACCAAGAACCTGCCGTCTGTCATCTGGTCGAACCGAATCAAGCCAAACCTTCCAGCAATGAAGTCGACGAAGCCGCGTCCGGGTTTGAGCTTAACAACACGATGGTGCAAACCAGTTTGATAGAATACCACCAGGGGCCACTGTGCACATGACCCTGGGTTGTGAAAGCATGGATGTACGAACGACACCTGAACCTGCATACACACATACCACGACATGTATAGACGGACGGAGCAGAACACTGACGCTGACAGTCAAACCCACGCAAAAAAACTGGGCTATGTAAGCCCGGAGGCCAAGTAGGCTCAAGTGCACCATGCTCACCGGGCAGCCACTTGGCATAGGCGCCTTCAGCAGCTGAAAAGAAAAACTGTTGAAATGCTCAATGCATGGCACCTCCCACTATTACGACCAAACCTTCTGCAAGCATTGCCGACCTCGTCTTTGCGGTGGAAAGTAGGAAACTTTTCGACGGGCATCAAGTTCAAGATAGTCCAATCGTCACGGGAAGCCTGCCCTCTGGACCATTAATATTCATAATTATATAAAGGCTTTGCATCGCGGAACAGAAACAGCGGATCCCAAATACAGGAATTTTTGCATGCCGGCATGGCCTTCGCGATTTCCACCATCGCCAATCTGCAAAAAGGACCGGGGTGAGATGGAGCAATTGCTGATGAAGGAGGGGGACGGCAACTGCATCCGAAATGTTACTGTCGGATAGCTGCTGAATTTCAGAGACAGCCATCCAGCACATCAAATTATTAGGGCCCCGGATCAGTTTCAAACAATACCCCAAATTGCATAGCAAGTTTCGCATCCCTCAGGATCCGAGCAAAAGACAAGTGAACGCGAAGTTTTGATGGGTGGGAGTCTATCAGGAAAAGCTGTGCCCTCTCCTCATGCACTCATATTATATGGATAACACGATTAATTACATAAATGGATCGATTTGGATAGACTGACAAAGAAGTGATAGTGGGAGAAAGATGCAGCTCATAATAATTATCTGAGCACTGATCTCTAAGCTGTGCAAAACAGAACGTTGGTTCACGTATAGCAAAGAAGGGAGGCCGCAGTTGGCCCATCTAATCTAGTCCATCCTGGACTTCGAGTTGAAACGCAAGAGTCTGGTTCGGACGAAGTTTGGAATCTAATCCACCGACACTTGTGCAGAAGCCCTCGCGACTATTCTGACAGCTAGCAGCTATGTCAAGCAGCATGTGACTGTAGAACGGGACCTGGCTGCAAAACTTGGCAGCGAACCGATCGTGTCGGCAGCTCCCGTCCACGGGAACAGCAAACATTCCTAGACCTAGACCTTGTGTCTCTAAGAGGAGGCGGCTGTGTGCAGCATTCCAAAAGCCTGACGAAGACCACATCGGGTGCCACTAGCACAAGCACGATCTAAGATAGTGCAAGCACCATACTTCGTGCCTATGTATCTGCAGTTGATACTCGGGCAAGCTGCATTGATGTACACCGGCGCGCAGACAGTGGTTTCATTCCTTGCCGCGACACAAGGGGGACCGGAGTGCAGCTAGAGCAGAACCTGCGTCAACAATGGTCGAAGTGCATGACCCACCATTATAAAACTTTGGAGACGGCTCTCATCATAATGATCATCATCATCATCTTTGGCCCTGGGTGCTGCCTCGGAGTTTGCCAGATTCTGTCGGGCAGGATTCCTTCTGAAATGGTACACCTAGTAACCAGGTTCACAGAGCACTAACACGGCTCCTTTCTGCTTACTGAGGTACGTCGCACGGCCCCATGCAGGCTTTTGCAGTTTCGGCTGCACCTGGCACTCGGGTACCCAAAACCATAAATAAGGACTACTTGGACCCCTACAGATTTCAAAACCTTGAAACACTGTAAGCATCTGAATTCACTCTGTTCCGCTTTGGCTCTTGTAGACCGGCCAGGTGCGCTCGTAAGAGTGAACCTGGCTTTCCGAGAAAGGTTGAGAATATCGAATTAGTATAGGTCCTTTCATAGAGTTCATATTGCCCTACTTGAATTCTATAACATAAAACCTATTACATATATGGTCAACTCCACTCTTCGCTCGTCTGGTGTATTTGGCTCCCAGACATTACAGAACACAGGGATTGCAGGGCGGTCATAGAACAGGCCATAGCACGTACAATGTAGTAGCACGGCGGCTCTTATCATGGCCAGCTCAACTACAATAGCTCAACTGCAAGCGCATAAGCTGCTTTTGTTGAAGGACTTATGTGATAGTCCTGACTGAGGCCGCAACGTGCCCCGCCAGCACGACGTTCACCCCGTGCTTGAAGAAAAGTTCCTCCAAGTCGCCCATCATGACCTCGTGGCAAGTTGAGATGCGCTCCGGGCTCCCAGCCACGGATACTTCACTATGTAGATGCTCAGAGAGCCGTGCAGCGCGTCGTGCCGAGTGGCACTGAATTAAACATGTGCTTGCTGCACCTGGTCCCCAGGCCCCCGGATCTGTATTGATCCATTTAGATACGAAGGTACCAGGGAATCGTGCTTTGGAGTTTTGTCGCTTGGCCGCACCTTCCTACTCACCACCCGACTGCCACTGCACACCATCTCAAGCGATCAACTGCTATAAGCCGCAACCTGAAGAAGGCCCCGGATATGGTCACTCTGACAAGCTTAAGCACACCTCGTGTTATAAGGATACATGTCAACGAAGAACGCACCCCAAAAGATGCTGCGGTGCCCTCCGAGCGCCCTGCTGCTGCTTCACCAATGTGGCCCAGGTTGGAGTTGTAGAAAGGCGCATGCATCATGACCTTGGCCATCCATGAGGCCTAAGGATACACCGGGGCGGCTTGCACTTTCCTCAGACACTTCTACAGCCTTTTTCTGGCTTCCAGCTGTGCCCTTGTTTATTCACGCAGCGTGTGACTGCCGGGGTTCGGGGGTTTGGCGCTCAAGGCCAAACAGTGGGCGATTGACGAGTTCGGCATGAATGTAGAATTGCGGATGTAGGGCATCCGAAGGTCCACCACACTAAGCACAAGCATTCCTAGCTCAGCCTACTCAAATCCAACACACCACAGTCATCGAAACAGTGCAAGCAGGCTCTCGAGGGTGAAGGCACGGCGTAGGCCTAGTTGATGTGAGTTCGTGTAAAAAGCCGAAAGTGCCCAATGAATAGGTACCTGGATTTAGGATACTCGTGCTCATTAGCTTGGTTTTTTCGGGCGTAGATGACAGTTGGGAAATATAGGGTTCCCTGCTACAAATATTAAAAACAACATACCCGAAAACCCCATCCCCAACTAGTAGTCAAGCCTCAGTTCCTTGCCCCGCTTAAGGTTTCGGGAGAATTGGCCAAGCCGAGCCGGGGGGCTACCAGCCAAGGAGTTCGCTTTCGGCTGAAAGCCTACGCACAAGTCTCGGGCTTGCACCTCGCACCCTCGTGTTGGGTTAGAGCATGCAGCGTTCAGGGCACATACACGGCATATTTGTTGTGTGTTTGCATATTGTATGTAGGTAGGTAGGTAGGTAGGTAGGTAGGTAGGTAGGTAGGTAGGCAGGCAGGCAGGCAGGCAGGTAGGTAGGTAGGTAGGTAGGTAGGTGTGCATGGATGTATCTATGTATGTAAGGATGTATATGTATATGTATATGTAGATGTATATGTATGTGTATATGTATATGCATATGTATATGTATATGTATGTGTGTGTATGTGTGTNNGCATGCATGTACGTACGTAAGTGTACAGATGTGTGTGTACCAATTTGTAATAAGATGTGTATATTAGGGTATAGGGTATACCAGGCTTATAGGCTAATATAATGTCTTAGCAGACGACAGGGCACCGTGTATCAGGCCGTTGCTATTGGAATGAAAGCATTGTCAACCAGCTGTGCACCTCAAGATCCCTTGCACCAAACCGCAAGGTCACAGTCAAAGAGTCGAAAGCTCCAAAGTGAAACCCCTAAACCCTAAACTGCTCCAGATGCGGACTTCCCTAGCCGACCTCCAGGTCCTTCTTCAGCCAGTTGAATTGGAAGCTGTCCGGGCCACTGGCGGCATAGCTGTTGAGGGCGACCACCTCTACACATGAATTGCCGAACCAAAACGCCAAGACCTGAAATGTATATATAATATATATATATATATATATTATATATATATATATATATATATTATATATATATATATTATATATACATATATGTAAA